AAAATTTAATACTCAGTTTATTTTATTTGTTAATTTTATTTTTTAATTAAAGCATACGACTATCAGTATAGGAGTGGACTTGCAAAATTTTAAAAATCAACAGTTCCTTTTTACTCAAATATACCGTCATTTTATTTTTTATCTTTTTTTTAATTGTTATTGTTATTATTTTTAGAGTACCTTTAATTGAATGTTAGTAAAATAAAAATGAATATGGTTGTTTCACAGTTGCCAACACAATGCCTATTTTAGTCTTATTTTGTGTTTTTTATATTTTATTTAATTATTTATTATTTATTTATTAATTACTAGAATTTGGTATGGAAAGAGTGGATGAATGTCAAAAAATTATTATTTGACTCTTTGGATGCGCATTTAATGCAGCCACAAAAAGTATTATTTTGAATTTTTTCGTGAAAAAACCAAAAGACACTTTAAATTACCATGTTTCTTATTGATTACTCACTGTACACAATACACTTTAAAGTTTCAAATAATTTATAAACATAATTAAATATGAGACACATATTTATCACTATTCAATTTAGAATATTTTCACTATAAGAATAATTTGAAAGTTTTCTTTTTAACTTAATATGATATGCTTATACCATATTTTGCTTTTTAGGTGTCTAATACTACTAATTTGTTTTTTAATATTTAATTTTTTAATTAAAATTCGAGATTACTTTTAAAATAAAATATATTTTGTAATTAAAGGTTAATAAAACAAAATAATATTTTTTAATTTTTTTAACTTATAAAATTACTAAAACAAAACAAAATCTTTATTAAAAAAATGATAAATGGTACGTAGTTATAAAAAAATAATGATAAAGTTATCAGAAAAAATGATAAATGGTCAAAATTTATTGATAGAATAATATTTATTAAATGAGAATAACTTACAATTATTTTTATAAATGTGAATAAGTTATAAATTATTTTGTAAATGAAAAAAAAATCCACTATTAATATAATTATTTTTTTAAAACAAAAATAAGTTACTAATATTTTTATAAATAAACTTATAAACGAAAAAAATTACAATAATTTCATAAATGGTAATAAGCTAGAATTATGTTTACCAGCGTCCAAACGGGCACTCTCGTGTCCGTTTTGTCCGTTTTTTTTAATACACTTATGCGCCAAAAAATAAATAAGTATTTTTTTAATTTTTAATTTTATTTTAATTAATTATATAATAAACTATGTGACATTCACTCTCATATTTACTTATATATTCTTTTAGTATGCACACGAAAGACATTTTAAAATATCGTTTTCATAATTTATTTGTCGAGTTAAATTAAAATATAATATAAAATATTTATTTTCCTTCTTTTTTTATTTCAATATTTCTTTAGTCGCATCAAATATCTCTTTAACTTTTCTCTCTTATGCCGTCTGATTACTTATTTTGTTAATATTTAAATTTTTATAATTAAAAATATAAAAAAATACAAACATATAAAGTATTTTATTTTTACTTTTCTTACATTTTTCTATTTTCTTGATCTTTCTATAACTATTTTGATTGGTTTATGAGTATACATAAATATAAATGCATTGAAAAACCGTAAAATAGAATAGAAGAATGATCTATTAAACACAATAGAAAATCAATTAGATAATTTTATGGTGAACAATATGGTACATTGAATTTAATCGAACAATGATACTCTCAATTAATTAAATAATATAATTTCATGTGACATTACTTTCTATTTTAATTTATTTTAAAATAAATTAAAATTTTGAAACAATTTGTATTAAATATACCAATACTCAATTTAAATTCATGGATATCAAATAATTTAATTAATTCTATTAAACATAATAGAAAATCTAACATGGGAACAACGTCGTAAATAAAGTTTGGAGATGGTGACAATTGTTTAATTTTTTTTAAAATGATGGTAACCGCCAAATTTTAAAAAAAAAACGGCCAGGGAATTTAATTAAATAGAAAGATCATGAGAAAATAAAAATTTAAGAAAGAAAAAAAGAGTATTAACTCAATCTTTTCATGTTGTAGGTAATATACTTTATTTAAACAAAAACTTATTAGTATGATTGATACTCAAAGAAACTACACCAAAAATATAAATTTATCATTAAGACTCAGTTACACATTAAAAATAATAAGCACATAAAGAAATTTGACTCCTTTCTTTCTTATGTATTATCTGTGATACTGAATAATTTTCAATAATATTCATCATATTATTTAAACAATAGAACGAAATGAATAAAATTAAAAATGGATAAATGAATCAATCAAAATGGTTAAACTTTCAAAGTTAGTGAAAACATTAAAATTAAAAAAAAAAAATTTATGTTTAAGTTTAACAACAATTTTTTTTGTCGTTAAAGTCAAAAAGAACATAACAGAAAATCTAAAGTTAAATTAGAGAAATACTGTAGAAAAGATAACAGTTACTATTATTATCTTTCTCTTTCATTTTCATCTTTGTCTTCCTTTTTTCCTATCTTCCATTTGTTTCTCCAACGTTTTTTTTCACTCTCAATCTTTTTTTATATCTAATGGATAGAATATAAAATTGGGAGAGGTGATTTATTGGTTTAGAAACCGTATACAAGTTATGAAAAATAAGAAATAATAATTAACTAATAAAAAAATGTAATAAAATCAATTTATTAGTAACAAAATTGAAAATAAAAAAGAGTACACCAAAATTGTGTTTATTTCTATAAAGGAGAAAAATTCAAGTATTAATACAATTGTTTTTAACAAAAAAAGAAGTTAAAAATATTTTTATAAATTGTCATGCGGATAAAAATGGTAATCATAAAAAATTAATGATAAAAGATAAAAAAATTTATAAACTAAACTGAATAAGTTACCATTGTTTTTATAAACGGGAATAAATTACAAATAATTTTATAAACATAATAAGTTTAACTATTTATACAATGATTTGTATTTAAGAGACAAATTAAAGTATTAAAAAAAATTATTTTTAACATGAATAAATAAAAAATTGCTTTATAAATTGTCATACAGGTTCAAGGCGCTTATAAACGAAAAGGGTCTACATGTTGATGTAAATAATTTTATATACAGAAATAAGTTAAAGTATATATTTTTTAAACGGGAAAAGTCTACAAATTGATATAAATATTGTTATGGCCTGGGCTCCGGCTTGGCCAGGCAGACACAACCCAATAATATCCTGCAAAGCCCAGTCCAGCTTAGGCCGCAGCCGTCGAGCACAAGGTCTCCGAAATGTCCCTCCACGGGCAGAACCCGCCTCATCCGCCTCATCTGTGTCAAGCACAAGGCTCTTCCAGCGACTAGACACTGCCCTCTCCGCGGGCAGGACCTGCCCTTCTGCGGGCAGAACCTGCTCCCCTGTCGGACAGGACAACGTGTCCTTCACACGTTCTCGCCGTGCTCCCCTCCGCGGGGACACGTCATCGACCAACTGCCCACCTCCGACAGAGCAGGTCAAACTCACTTTCTGGAGATCACGAGACAGTTGGACTAGGGCGAAGGCCACGTCCTGGTCTTCACTACGCCACGTAAGCCCTAGCAGTCACCTGGATTGGGCCTGGCGAGCCAACCCAACACAAATGAGGTAATTCACTTCCTGTACTTGTGATCACTTTGCCCATACGCTTACTTTAGCATCGGAGTGTCTTGTAGGTACATCTCTCTCCTCTTCTTCGATACCGGTGAGCAGGCAACAAGTCGAAGACACGTGACAGCCAGCGATCCCTTTTTGATCAGATCAGATCAAATATTATTGTTAAATTTATCAACCCACTAAATTTGTTATGCTGTAAAAATTTTAGAGTTGTAGTTTTAGAATTTGCTCATCTGAGTTCAACTGAGTTTTGGTAATTACTGAAATTGCAGACATAATCCACGAGTAGACGTAAACGTATCTATGAGTAATTTATATGTACTATTGTTGTTAGATTTATTAACTTATTAAATTGGTTACGGTGGAAAAAGTTTAGAAGTTGAAATAAAATTACAGAATTGACAAGTGATTTTTGCAATGTAGTCTGTGAATACAGACAAGACTCGTGCTACTTATTAAATATTGAAAAATTGCAACCCCATCCGATTCAAAATAATTGTTAACAAATAAAATTTAATTTAACATAAATACCATTTTGTAACATTGATTAATATTTTTCTATCATTCTCACTTTTCATTTTCGTAGTCATTACTATTTTTTCAATTATATTCTTTAATTATTACTCTATATATTATTTTTAATATTTCTTCATTCTCACTTTTCATCTTCGTAGTCATTGCTATTTTTTCAATTATATTCTTTAATTATTACTCTATATATTATTTTTAATATTTCTTCTGTCCCATAATGAGTGACTCAGTTAATCATTTCACACATTAAAAAAAATAAAAGAGACAGAATGATATTTTTATTAAAATATTTTTATCATGTATTGAAAATAATAAAAATAATATTAATTAAAGAACAAAATTAAAAAAAGATTCATTAAAAATTGAAATAAATCATTCATTTTGCAACACTTTTTTTATTCTAAATAGGTCACTGATCAGGGGACGGAAGAAGTACATTATCTGTACATTAATAAAATTAATTTAATAAAAATATATTTTCTTACGACAATATTATTATATTCATGTAAAAAAACATTAACAAATTTATTACTGTTCTTTATATGCTAAATTATTTTTAAGTTTTATGTACTGTTGTATACAAAAATTAAAAATGCTAAACGTGGGTCACAAAAGTTCAAGAGTTCAAAACCTCAGTATTTTTTTCTTCCGATAATAAGAATCGCACCTTTTACCAAACAATAATAACAATGCATAGAAGAAAATACAAATCTTGCATAAGCTCCAAGAGCCTTCTAAAGATTATAAAGCACTGTCTATCCACTGTTTGGAAGGAAGGCTTGTAGAATCCGCAGCGCCTCAGTCATTTTAGAACATACATGCTGACAACATCCTCTTTTTCCGTTGTGTATATTTACATCATTGTTCTGAATCATCAATTTCTGAATCAGTGACCATAACAATCTCCATATCTTCGTCTTCTTGTCTCACTTTAGAAACCTTGTAATCCTTCGGAAGCGCATTACAGTCTATGGTGTGCCATACTGGTCTCTCCTCTTGAAACAATCTAAAGCAAAAATAAAGGCTCAAATGCGAATACTACGAGTTCGTGTTATAACTTAGTATAAGTAATTGGCGACACACAAGCTTTACAGAGCAATGGAAAGAAAGTGAGGACTTACGGGTGCTTGCATAGCATAGGGACATGAACTGTAAGTGCATACTTGCAAGTTGAAATCTCTGTGATTGAACTGATCATGGCTCTGGGTTCTGAGCATACAAACCTCACCTATGATTATTAAAAAAAATATGAAATCAGTATGATAAAGTAAAGTAGAAAACATAACTAGAATTGTGTGTTTTCATACCTCAGTCTCTCTTGGCTTATTTGTAAGATCACATATGGTTCCATTAGTATATTGGTGAGCATGATATCTGAAAAAATATAATATACTAAATAAGTATTTGTTCTCATCGCATCATATACCATGTGAAACCATTCCTACTAATAGCCATTTAGGGTAGGTACCTTTGTGAGGCATCCTTTGAGCGAGGATCTTTAAATGTAGATATGTTGGAAAGGTTTTGGTTAAATGCAGCTGTTGCCTCAGGATCATACACACCCAAGACAAATTCCTGGACTACCTATAACGAAGAAAAATGAACATTGATTACTATTTTTTATGGGTAAACACATGACTTTACAAGAATCTGAATAAAATAAAACAACAGAAGCATATAAATGAAAACATCCCCTGCTCTTGTGTTACAATTCCATTTCTAGCTGCACTCTATTGTTAGTAACAATGGAATTGAAGTATTAATTCAATTCCATTGACACGAAACGTGAGAAAAATATTGAATTTCACTATGCCAAATCCACCTCTCTTAATTTTTTTTTCCGAACACATTTTAGTCTAGTTAGAAAGAAGAGGAAAAAAACAAATAAAGAGAGATTTAATCATCACCAGAATGGTAAATGATCCAAAGGCCAAAACCTCGTGGAAGCTGTATAAGAATTTGGTCTGGAAACAACAGAGGCTTCCCAATGTGTAGAGACCCTGTTAAAGGCTTAGAGCTCTGAGACGGCTCTTCATATTTCTGTACCTTTCTTGTGACTTGGCGACATAGATGCTCAGCAAGCCATCCATGATTACCAGCCATACCCTATGACTCAGCACTTATGCAAACAATTCATACATATAGATGAATTCAAGTTCCATGACCATAAACCATAATCTGGTTTGTACCACTTTTCATAAAACTAATATTGCTGGTGGTAAAGCAGGCAAGAAAGAAATAATGGAAAACATGGCAATACCATCCAAGTTTAAAATCTTGTCAGCACTGGAGCACCACGTGGATGTCATTAGCAGGTGACTCACACCAAAAAAAACAATGATAGAGAACATTAAGTGGAAAATAAGAGAGAGCACTTCATGAACAATTCAGTGTTTAAAAGCCAGAACACCAGCTGTTTGTTTATCCATGAAGGAAAGGTCAATTGCCCTGAAGTGAAAAGAAAACAAGAAACGAAGAATTTCCTTTTGAAATGACTCCAAGGTTAGAAGGCCAAAGGTTGATGAATCTAATGGTCAAATTCATTGAAGGTATTAATCCAATTGAACAGTTCAAATTTATGCAAGATCCAAAAGTTTGTTTGGGGAAGTTGGAGGAATGGCACCTTAGCAAGGTTGAGCATTTTATTAGATCATTAGGATATTCTAAGAGGTTCGAGCAATAATCACTCGGATGCAACTGGCAACCTCCGTACTCAACCTTCTCTAAATCGGAATAGGAAGCTTGATCTATTCTCTAAACTGGAATAGGAAGCTTGATCTACAGGTGTTTCACCTACTAAGCTCAGAGCTGAGGAGGCTGGTGTACTGTACTGGCCCAGACCTCACATTGAACTTGTCTAAAGTACAACGCACAGAAACAATACACATATTCGGATCTAGAGGTCTAGTTTGGAACTCCAAATTAACTCTCCACATTTTCCTACCAAGTCAGTGATTCATAACATAGACACTTAGCTAGCCATCCACAATGAACAAACAAACCCTCAGCTCAGAGACTAACATTGAGGAGGCTGGCCAATCCTCACACTTTACCCTACGGATCCCTGCTTCCCAGGTTGTAATTATATTGCACAACCTTTGCAATCTAAAGGACAGATTTCCATGTTCTATGAAGCCTATTGGCAATACTGTAAACGTAGCCTTAAAGCTTTGTAAAATTTGTAACAACAGACTTTGATTGGTCTTTTACCCGGGAACACGAGTGTCCCGTTATGAGAAAGAATGATAAAAATTTCTTGCGAAGGAACCCAACTTGCTTTGCATTGGGGTCCAAAAATGTTATAAATGTTAAAAATGTTATATCTATAGCGGTGGGTAAAAAGAGAGTCCAGAGCCCATTCGAAGATTGAACCACATCCAAAGTTCAAATTTTTCTGATAATATGATATAAATGTTGCTAACCAAATTATAAACTAACCCAACTCCTAGGATGCATTAGCAACGTTATCTTGCAACATTGTGTGAATTAATTTAAACTCATTCAAGAATGTAATTTCTCTTACAGATCCATCACATTGGGCTACTAACCAAAGGATGAAAAAAATAGTGGTTTGCAAAATGATAAACAACGGCTAAAACTGAATGCAATCAAGGGAGAATACCTTATCATCTTCCAAAGAATGTTGCTAACCAAATTATAAACTAACCCAACTCCTAGGATGCATTAGCAACGTTATCTTGCAACATTGTGCGAATTAATTTAAACTCATTCAAGAATGTAATTTCTCTTACAGATCCATCACATTGGGCTACTAACCAAAGGATGAAAAAAATAGTGGTTTGCAAAATGATAAACAACGGCTAAAAATGTTATATCTATAGCGGTGGGTAAAAAGAGAGTCCAGAGCCCATTCGAAAATTGAACCACATCCAAAGTTCAAATTTTTCTGATAATATGATATAAATGTTGCTAACCAAATTATAAACTAACCCGACTCCTAGGATGCATTAGCAACGTTATCTTGCAACATTGTGTGAATTAATTTAAACTCATTCAAGAATGTAATTTCTCTTACAGATCCATCACATTGGGCTACTAACCAAAGGATGAAAAAAATAGTGGTTTGCAAAATGATAAACAACGGCTAAAACTGAATGCAATCAAGGGAGAATACCTTATCATCTTCCAAATGCAGCTGCCGCAATTTCTTGTGATAGCAAAACTCATAAGACCACCAACCTTCTTGCTGCACAAACACATTATCCAATGTAAGAAAATTACTTACAATGAGACTCATGAGGTACGAAACTATCTGTATAAAAATTAACCAAATCATTGACATATCATCATTCAAAGCAAATACAGAGATGCAAGTACTAACTCTGATAACGCACGGACCCTTCAATACTTCTAACAGTTCATCTGGTGTCTTTTGTTTAACCCTTTTCTCAGTTTCAACAATCATGCTGCTAACGTTTTGCTGTATAGGAGGCTTTCCACTTTTTTCCTTTTCCACCTTAGGCAAGTAACATATAAATTTCTGTCCATTTTTATCAGGTAAAACTATAGATTCCTGGTCATCATCCTGTAAATTCAACATCGGGAGTTCTTATCAGCAGACAGCATGATAAAGATATACAAAGCTGACTACCACTACACCCAAAAGGAGGGGGTATGAAATTCAGTTATATCCAAGAAAATATAACTATTTGAAATCACTTAATTTTGAAACTATTTCAAATAGTTTTTCATTAAAATCACTTTTGAGATACAACTTTTAGAAAAAATTGCAATTTCGACTAAGTTTAGATCTTCAATAATGTATGCTTATGTTATAGGTTGTCAAAATTAATCTTTCAATTTAGAAAAAACTAATATAAAAAAACTTGGTAACATTTTGAAAAAGATTTTTTTAAAATCCATTTTTGAAAATACAAAGAAAAAATTCATTTTTTAAGCTAAAACATACGGTCCCTTAATCTAAAATATAACTTAACAAAATAATTATAAAAAACACACTAATATCACATTCCCAACAACACACAACCACATATTAGAGAGCTTACAGGGTGAAAAGGAGATTCTTCGGGATGGAATTCAATCTTGTATTTCGGTTCACGAGAGCTACCACTACTGCCACCACCGCCACCACCGATGGCACTTAATACACTACCTGTTCAAATTCATATTATATATCAAACACTCAAAATAAAACAAACAATGGATTGAATATTAATCAAAATCCTACAACTTAATTCAAAACCCTAAGAAATTCAAAAGGGGGTAAATTAAATAGGGAGACCACAGTTACCGATATGAACAGGGAAGGCGCTTTCAGCAAAGACATAGCTGAAAGATAAAGCTACGAACAACAAAAGTAATGATCTCATTCTTGTTAAACCTTACGCCTACACAAACGCGATTCTAGTCCTGCTTCAGCTTTTTTCAAACGCGATTCTAATTCTGCCTCAGCTTATTTCAAGCGTTTCAACAAAAATGTAATATTCAGAGATCTAAGCTTCGAGTTCCGCCTTGCTTTGACAAAATTCTACGTCATGTAACCAATCGGCAGATGCCACGTCAGTTAAGTCTACATGGTATTGTAATAATAGCTTATTTTGGATTTAAGACTCATTTTGGGACCTCGTTACACGTTTTTTTTGTTAAGACTAAATTGATAGTATATTCTTTAATTTTAATATTCAGAATCATATTTTTGAATGTTTTTTATATTTAAATGATAATTTATTTTTTACATAAATTGATAACTTGTATGAGTCAATAATAAGAGAAAAGAGACAGTGCTCTCAATCAATAATAATCATTTATTTTGACAAGTTTAGCTTATAAATTTTCAATTATTTATATGATTTAGTAAATATATGTATAATATTTCTTTACACTAATTGTGTATTATTATTAAATTATAATAATAACTCAAACATTTTTTATGGAATCATAGACGTAAAGACAAAATATAAAGAGTTTAATTGATATTCATTGACATTGTAAAATTATTTTATACATTAATCTATCATATTATATAATTAACTTTAAATTTACTATCTGATGTGGTAGAATACATGATGATAATTGATTAACAATATAAAATTATTTTACATTATCAATATATATTTCGTTTTTTCAAATATAAAATACGAATAATTTAAAGTAAAAATAAAAAATTAAACTGGTCTTAAGATTATAAGAAAATAAAAACTTAAAATAAAGACAATTGAAACAATAAGAAAAATAATAAAGGAGATGGATATTAATGTAAAACAATTGAATTGAATCGGATTTAGAGCAACTTTAATGCAGGGTTGTGAAATTTATTATAATATTATTTAATATTAATAAAATATTCTAAATATTTCAACAAGGATATGATATTTGAAAATAGTAACGGTCATATTATCATTTTTTTACCTTCTATAAATTTTATAGAAAGTTTAATTTTTTTTACACAGTTTTACTTCTAAATTCTATCATTTTTTTACCTTCTTATTTATTTATCACATGGATCCCAACCAATCGAATCTTTATTATAATTATATTCCTATGAAAATGTAATTTTTTTATGTATTATTGTTGTGAATTTTGTATTATTTTTAATTTTATAATAAAATATATTTAATATTATTTTTAAGTTTTTAAGGTAAATTTTATTTAAAAAATTATATGTATTTTAATTAAAATAATTAAATTAATGGTAACTTGAATAAAAAATATAAAATGTGGGGTCAAGTTTTGGTTTCTTATAGACAACCACCATTAAAGTAAAAACTACTCAAATCAACTATAAATTTTTTAAATCCTACAAATCACTTTGGGCCTACAAAAAGTATCTTAGTTTACCCATTTAGTTTACTCCCACTAAAGATGCTCTTAGAGAATAACATTCATGTAATGGCAATAACAAATCAAAGTTATATACGGTAATGGGTGGTTTATTATAAGCTTTTTCTTAACACACTTTTTAGTTAATGGTATTATTGAGATATTAGATATAATTCAAATTGAATTATGTGATTTAAGTCTAAAGTTAATTAGGGTTTAGGATTTATTATTTAATTTGTTATATATTTTGCTTAGTAGTCAAGTCAATTAGATCTATATAAATAAGACACTTTGTAACTGAGTTGTAATCATTCATTCAATAATATCAATTCTTATTTCTTTATTCGCTCTTTCTCTCCTCACTAAAAGTGCATCACGCACTAACAAATTGTTATCTAGAGCTCTGGTTAGATTCTTGATCGTGTTTTCAAGAATCACACGTGAGAGATTGTGTTTTCGGTATCGTGGGTTGTTATTGATCAATCACTACAAAGATGAATGGTAATGGAATTTACCAAACTCCCTTCCAACTCTTGACAGCAAGAATTGACTTCAATGGAGAAAACAAATGCAATCTCTATTTGGCTTTCATGAAACCTTATAAGTGGTTACTAACGGTATTCTTGCGCTTGGTGAAGATGCAACCGACGTACAGAGAACTGCTCATAAAGATGCCAAGAAGAAGAATTACAAGGCGGCGTTTTACATCCAATCGGCGATTGATGCGGCTAATTTTGACAGAATCTCTCATGATGAATCGGTGAAGGAGGCATGGGATATTAATGTCAAGTACTATGAAGGAGGCGAGAAAGTCAAGGTTGTCAAGTTGCAAACTTTGCGACGACAATATGAATTGTTGTTGACGGGAGAAGACGAAAAGATTGCAGGCTATGTGTCGAAGGTGCAAAAACATGTCTATCTCATGAAGGGTTGTGGTGAAGCACTAACTGATAAGGTGATGGTTGAGAAGGTAATGTGTGCGTTGACCTTGTGAGTGCTAACTACGAATTCAATCAGGTTTTGAATGATGTCAAACAAGGAACAAGGTAGTTTATCGTAGTGCTCTTGTATATTGGACTGTGTCAACCTAAATTTAGATGCTCATTTGTCCCCTTAACATTAAGATGCATAAAAAGAGTTTTTGGACAAGTTTGATAGGTTTTAGGCATGTCATACACATCAAAAATCAAGCTTTTGTGTCAAAACAACAGCATAGGCCGACATATACACGACCAGACCGACCTATGGAAGCCTCAGCTTCAGTATAGGCTGGCACATTCATGCTTCAGGCTGGCTCCTGTGCTTCGAGAACAAAGCCTGTAGATTTTTCCCACAAGTTACATTTCAGGTCGCCTCACAGGTCGGCCTGAACACCTTCATAGGCCGAACTATGACCTTCACAGACCGACCTATGCAAGTTAAAACTTGAAAAATTCTTTTTGCATCTTATTTTTCTTGCATCCTTTTGCCCATTTTCTTCATATACCTGTATATACTCATACATGCATCTTCTTTTAGGGAAGGTTTCCTAGTGAATAAAACCTAAATAAAACCATATTATAAAGTTACCCATCATCTTCATCCCTTCTTCTATGCATACAGACAATTGAACTACACATAATCATTTTTTGATTGGGTAACCATCTAGATTAGGGTTGATAACGTCCAATTAGGTTTGGTGTAATCGAGAATATTGGGTTGGGGGCTTTGTGTGTTTCAAATAAGAAAACCAAGGTGGGATTTTCCTTCAAGACCGGGTTGATTTGATGGTTTTGGACAAGAACACGTCAATACATATTCGACCGAGTGAAAGTCTTGGGAAAAGGTGGTTTCCTTGCAATGGAGTAGCGCGAGATGGTGAATTGTGTTCATGAATCTTGGGTTTCAACAAGTTGCATGCTCGGGATAATCTGAGGATTGTAGTCGCATTATTGGTCACTTAATCAAGCTTTGATAAAAGTTTTGGAGGTAGAAGAATCAATACAAAACAATAGGGTTGTTGGGGTTTGCATTCTTCATCTCTTGTATAAACATTTTTTCAAAGAAAAGGTTAATAGCACTATCTCAATTCGATTTTGAATTGAGGGCAGACGTACCCATAGCGAGCCGATTGGGGAACTGCCTAAACAAATCTTGGTCTCTCTCAGTCTCTCTCTCTCTCTCTCTCTCTCTCTCTCTCTCTCTCTCTTCATCTTTTTATCTCTTTTTTATTGATTACACAATTTATCGAGTTCGTTGTTGTTTGATCAATTAGATTGCAAATTGTTTTCTACTATCTTTTAAAGGTGTTGTTGTTGATATAATCACAATCACTTTGATTGTGATAGGTTTTAACATCAACAAAACAAACTATATTTCCAGTTATTATCAGTCACACATCAAGTGTTCGATAAATTGTTTATGTGTATTTTGTTTGCGTTTTGGTTCATTGAATATATGAGTTACGATTAGCATTATATTTAATTGATTCGTAGCTTGACTGTTGTTGAATATTTACGTTTATTATCACTCTGTTTGGTTTGTGATACATATATTGCTTTTCGATAGTAGGTTCAGCTAGACGATTCGATCTGGGTCGTTTTTTCGCTGCACCATATTTTGAAAACAAATATTTGTCAAAAGTTTTTTATTGTAAAATTTATGGTCTATTCACCCCCCCTCTAGATCGAAGACTATCCTCTAACAAGTGGCATCAAGAGCTCTGGTTCATTCCGTGCTTGAGATACATTTCTTAGAATAATGGCTACTGAACCTAAGGGTGCGTACAATAGAGCACCAATTTTCACTGGTGAAAATTATGGCTATTGGAAAACACTTATGCGCATTCATGTCAACTCCATTGACAAAGGTATTTGAGATGCTACTCAAAATGGTCTAAATGAAATAACTATGACCAGTGAAGATAGTGTCACAATACCTAAACCGGAAGCATAATGAGATGATAATGATAGGAAATTATGGTCACATGATTAGAAAGTGAAGAACATCCTCACTTCCGCCTTGGGAGTTGATGCGTTTTATCACGTTTCTCATTGTGAGCCCGCCAAAGCTATGTGGGACGCATTATAGATTTCCTATGAGGGTATTAATGATGTCAAACATGCTAGTATCAATACATTGAATCAAGATTTTTAGTTGTTCTGTATTGAGCATGGTGAATGTAACGCCCCGATTCCGATTTCCTTTATTTTGAGTCCTTTTAATTTAATTGATTGAATTATTATTTTAAATATAGGATTTATGTGTTTAATATGTTATGTGTGCATATTATGCTATTTTTTTTTTTACCGATTTTGAGTATTTCGGGTAAAAATAGGTTGAAGGGTATTTTGGGCATTAGTGATTATGCTAAGTGGATATTTTTATGAGAATTGATTAATTAGTGTGTGGAAAGAATTTGAGAGGAAAGAAATAGAAATATGAGATGAGAGAGGAAAAGAAAAATATATAGTAACATAGAAAGAAAAACAAGAGAAAGAAAGAGGAGAAGAGAAAGTGGAGAGAAAAGAAGAGGAAAACCTAGAACATCAAGAAATCATCACCAAAGCTT